TAGAATTTAATAACTTAAGTATAATATTTCGAAAAGTCATAGTTTATTAGTGATCAAATCTAGAAATACACTTTTATATGGGACACCCTGTATATCCCGAAACCAATGTACCGGTATCGGGTATCTCGGTTATTTTTTAAGATAGAAATTTGAGGTTTAGCAACGCTGTGGAAATTAAAGATGCCATCAAGACAATTAGCATGGCGCTCGTGGCTTAGTTCGTTTTTACTTGTTCTATGTTGTAAACAGATCAACTAAAAGTAAGATATATTTCAGGAGTTATTACTATACTTTTTAAAAACTACTCAAAACAATCATCAAGTAAAGGTTTATTATCATACAAAGAAATCAATACTTTAAAATTCATTTATTTAAATGTGTTTTATACTTTATAAACTACTATTTGTAATCATTTTCAACTTGTTATAGTCCATGATTACATTAATTAATATGAAGTAACATATCTAAAGAATATTAACATATTATAACATATATTATGCTTGTTTTTTTTAATAGACGAGTCATAGCCAACTATTTACTTAACATAATAATATCATAATATTTATCATATTAATAAGACATCATTATCTAAAAAATATGTATTTTCATCCTGTTTTTTCGAAATTAATTCCATATACACCGGAAATTCAAGAATCCCATGAAAGGAAGGAGGTTTAGAACGATTGAGGAGATGCGGAAAAAATTACTGGAAGAACTCAAGGCTATACTAGAAAGTGCTTACCAGAATTGCCTCGAAGATTAGAAAAAACGTTGGCACAGGTGTGTTATTTCTGGGGGGACGATTACTTTCAGGGGGACAACATTAATTTTGGTGATTAAATAAGTGATTTTTGATAAAACTTAAAAGTCACCTTACTTGTTGAAGACACCTAGTACATCCCACAGAGTACCAGAAGCAGAGTACGCGTTTCTTGTTGATTCCTTATATTTATTTGCAAAACTGAACTCAACACTAAAAAAAAATTGACACCTTTCAAAGTCTACATGTTCAAAATTCGAAACTTCTATTTCTTCCAAGAAACAATATATCAAGTGTGCTACATTTTGGAAAGAAATTTTCAGGTCATTTCGATGATCCAAAATTATACAGGCTGTCCCATATAAAAGTTTTACAAATATGATGCTGAAGTCATTTAATGTCGAGTATAAAGTTGGATAATATTTTCATAGGCAAACAAAATTTTCAACAACAAAAAAGTTACAACGATTTTTGTACAATGTTCATTCACGAAAAACACTCTGCAACTCTAAAATAGCCAGTGACCGAGTAAGGTTCGATTTTAATTCAATAATTTTTTTGGATATTTTAACAGGGTTTTCATTCATACAGTTTAAATGCTAGGTAAATTATAAAAGTTGGACGATTTTTTCTATATTATCATTTGAACATATCATTTAATTTTAATGACTTTTTTAATTTGTTATCTTTTTTTTACTCAATTTCAAAAATATATATTCCCCGTACTATTTTATGGTCAAAATTTGAGTTCCTTTTTCTGAATATTTTTTTAATGAAAATTATCTTTTCGAATACGTATATTGTAAACATCGTCGCCATTCATTTTACTTATAATTCCTATTACTCTCTTCAGAACGACAAACACAAAATAAACTTGAATTTAATCATTATCTAATTAAACTTATATACTCGCGAAAACTACGTACATTTTAGTACGTAGTTAGTTATTTTAGTTATCATAAAATAAATAAATGAATTTGGTTGGCTCCGGATGAAGAACATTTTTTTCTCTTTTCTTTTTTCGTTATTGGTTTTATTGGTTGTATTTTTTTTTAAATTTTAGTAGTTGTTGCACCAGACTTCGCCATTTACCATTTTGCAACCTTATTGTATTATTGTTATTATTATTTCTATTATTATTATTATTCTATAGGCAAATGATTAAGAAGATTATCATATTATTGCATATTATACTCTTTTTACCACCGTTAGCTGGTGACCCCCGATCGCACCGAAACCCGTGGCTAAAATTTCGTAAACGTCCGAAGTGGCTCACGTCAGTAGTTAACAAAACTGACGTTTTAATATAATAATAATTTTATATTTTGAACGGAGTAGAAAAAATGAATTCTGGCTGGTAACATTTTCGACCCCCGTCCACCTAGTGAAAGAGAAAGAAATTGATAAGATAAAATATCAAGATTCAATTTTTGTAATATGCAGTCTTCTTTTTGGTAAATATTCATCAATTAACCTCAACCGTCCAAACCTGGTAACCTGACTTCTTGAAAAAAAAACATTTTGAGAAAATGAGTCAATAATTTTGACATTTGACGATTTATTTAACCAGCGCCACAAAACTTAAAAAATCTCTGTGGTTTATCAATCTATTAGCTCAAAAAAATATATATTTTGGAAACTTGATACAAGTTTCGTGCAGTGCATTCCAGATTCGCTTTCTCTCATGGGTTATCCTCAGAACCGTTAAAAATACGGTTTATTAAATTTTGGAAATTGCCTTTAGAAGGAATTTGGCATATTCGGGGGTACTCTGATCTCGTTATTACAAAAAAAAGGTAAAATTTATATGTGCACAGGTCAAAATATTTTTCTATTCCCCTCTGCAAAATACCTAATTACACACAGATCTAGCGTGCGGGAAGCGTCATTTTACCACGTCAGTTCCGTTTCCCACGGATCTGAGCCGCTTCGACATTTCCTAGATTCCGGGTTTGGGTGCAATCGGATGATTTCGGAAATATTTCCCACGCCTTGTATTCGTGTTGTTTTGCGAAAATGTACTACAAAAATTAACGGTCGTAGAAAAAGTATAGTATGCAACACGTTCGGTAATAGTCTAATATTCAATAAGTGCGGTAAACGGCATTTGACTCACGAGTTTATTTGGCAGGAGCGGAGCGAGTGCTTAATAAGCGGGCGACTTAAAAAGTTTTCCGAACGTTTTGCATACTATACTTTTTCTACGACCCTTAGTTTTTGGGTACATTTTCGCAAAACAACACACATTCACTAACATGACCTTCAAAATTCACACAACTATTTACCAGATGCCATTAAACCTACTCTTTTATCGTTCCGATCGGTTCTGCTATGGTTGTTGTCTCCTTTTAACTGTGTACGTTAGAGAGAGATATGTATTATCGAATATGTCACATAAACAAAGGAACAAACACAATTTATAAGCAAGGAAAAGCAGTTCCTAACCTTCAATTTTGTTTTGTTTGTACTGTGGGAAACTTAAATTATAAATGTCACTTTACTTACGGACTAGGCAACTAGATTTTAACTGTAGCTTATAGCACGTGGTATTTAAATTGTCTTTACATTGCATTACATTTCTCAGTGTATTAGTTTTTGGGTACATTTTTGCAAAACAACACGAATACATTCACCGACCTGACCCTCAGAACTTACAAACGTCAAAATTCAAGGCGCGGGAAATATCTCCCAAACCCGTGCCCGTAATATCCCGGAAATGTCCGAAGTGGCTCAGATCCGTGGCAAACGAAACTGAAGTTGTATTTTACAGACGGGAGTAGAAAAACTTTTTAAGTCACTCGTTTATTAAACACTCGCTCCGCTCGTGCCAAATAAACTCGTGGGTTAAATGCCGTTTACCGCACTTGTTGCATAACATACAATTTTAATCCACTGTTCTTGGTTATGGCTATATTTTTCATTTAGAGTACAGTGCTCTGTTACAAACAATCGACTGTAATATACGGTGGACGTTCCCAAGCTGCGACGTGTGGTTCGAACTATCGCTTGGAGCCGGATCCCCAAATTGTGTATCGCCCCCGCCCCCCGCGACTTTCCCCGCGAGATCGGGATATTGCCTATTCGGTATCTCGCGCCTAATACCCCGGGCTGCCTCCGAAATGCATATCCGTCTGCCTCGGCACAAATCTTTAAATCTGTGCAGCGTTATCCGAATTTAATCCCTCCTCTCCCGCACCAACCGCGATAGGTGACGTCACTCGATGAGCAGCACACGGGCGTTTAAACGAAGAATAGCGACATAAAGGTGTGTTTCAATTCGATTTTGAAGAATGTATAAATATTATGAATGAAAAATCTTTGAAAAATATATTAGATTAGTTAATTAGATATATAGATTATGACAATAAATACCTTATTTGCTTAAATTCATAGTGTTTGTTATCGTCAATACAGGAAATGTTAAAATGATAAATTCCGAGCTGTATTAATGTTATTATAGTTAATAACCAAATTTTAAAATTTACCTAAATACACTTAAAAATAACAACACAGGAGAATGTATTATGGTGGAAAACTTATAACTCCAAGAATATCCCGCATGTTTCGAAGTGCATCAAATCAAAAATCCTAATTGATGTTTATTAATTGTTATTATTTAAAAAAATGATGTTACTCAAGAAAAACACAGAAACCTACAAACAGCCACATGTTTGCACCCCTAAAAGTATTAACCGTTTGGTTTTTCGGTTTAATAGAATATCTTGATCGGATTACAATGATGTAGTACACTTTATATTTTAGTCCACTCGTTTTTGACAAATCGGCAAAATAGGAAATTTTTATATAATTTCACAGAGTGCCCCGACTGACAAATAAAAATATGCCCGTTTGACATATTTCTAAACAACGTTGGTGGTTGAATTATTACAAAATACTAATACTAAAACACTTAACAATAAAAATTAAGACACAGTATATTTATTAAATTCTTTCATTCTAAAGACTTGGTTCCAGTGACCAAACCTTACCCATTCATTACCACAATACTGCTCATAAATGTTGGAGAAGGTTTTAACAAACCACCTTCACTTAAATGATCAATCCCCGAGAGTGACTGCGTTTCAGACCCTTCTAAAGAACCGCCATAAAAACGACAAACAAAAATGATGTTTACAGCTGAGACAGCCGTTTACTACATAAGCTCCGCCCACCGCGCACCATCCTGTCTATTGTGTGCGTGTCCTGGGTCGTACTTATCGAGCTGTGTGTGACGTTTCAGGACGACGAAGCTGCAAAATGACCTGCACCGACGAGGAACCAGGAGGCGGAGAATGATGGACAACTTCACCGAGGTATCGAAACTCGAAGGCTTTGAAGCCAATAACCGTACCACGCCCATTTATACCATCGGGCCTGAGTTTATCGCCCAGTGGTGAGTATACCGTCCAATGGGTTATATCAGTGGAATATAAGTCACAATTTCGTAATTTGTTTATCGAATCTAGTCTGAAATTTCTCAATTTAATAATGATGAATCCCAGTCATGACCAACGGAAAAATCTTTTTCTTAATTTTTGCATTTTTAAATTTAATTTTTCTTGAAAGTTTGCCTTGTCAATTATGTAAGGTAGAATTAATTAATAGTTTTATGGAGGACAAAATTGTAGGTATATAAGATATCAAAAATATAGAACAATCTAACCTAAAGTAACTTAAGTATAGAGTAAGGTACTAAACTCTAAAAGAATAACAAATTTTTGGCAAATTTTCAATCATTCTGTGAATGCAGTAAATTTAAAACATTTTTTGTTGCTCAAGCTCCTTGGCTCTTTTCAACCAACCAGCTATTGAATTATCACTTTCTTTGTGTGTTTTAAGTAAAGGCTTGATTTGACGCTGATAATACTCTCACGAAAGTCTAATCTCTAATAGTTTATGTATTGGGGTACATTAAATGCAAGATCCCAAAAAAACTAGGCCAAATTTGACTTTTCAGTTTCATAGTAAAGGCCTATTTTCATGCAATATTTTTTTGCCTACCTTAAAATTTTCCTAGCATTTTTTTTTTTGCTCGTGATGGTATTATCACCATGAAAACAAGCCTTAAAAAATAGGGAAAACGTTTTCATGAATTAACTCAACCATTTTGATGGGAAAATTTTATTCCTAAAATAAATACTCTGTTTTTTTTTGGGGGGGTGGGGTGATTCTTGGATCCATTTTAAGAAAAAAAAATACTTTTCTGAGAATAAATTAATTCAGATATTTTTTTAAATTATGCCAATATATAGCTGAAATAGTACATTATTCAACAAGTGCGGTAAACGGCATTTGACTCACGAGTTTATTTGACACGAGCGGAGCGCAGCGGAGCGAGTTTTTAATAAACGAGTTAGTTGAAAAGCAGGACCGTTCGTTTTTGGGTACATTTTCGCAAAACAACACGAATGTATTCATTGACATAACCGTCAGAATTGACAAACGTCAAAAATCAAAACGTGGGAAATATCTCCGATTGCTCCCAAACCCGCGTGGTAAAATCCCGGAAATGTCCCAAGTGGCTCGGATTCATGGGAAACGAAACTGACGTGGTAAAGTGGCGCTTCCCGCACGCTAGATCGATGAGTAATTAGGTATTTTTGCAGGCGGGAGTAGAAAAATACAATTTTGTTCCGGGGATTTTCTCTAATATTGCTTTCTTAAATAAAAAACTAGTTTAGTTTTGTATTCCTAAATTTAACTGCTCAAAAAAGATGAACAGCAGCAAGTGGATTTTATTTTTGTTTTCAAAAACTAAGCAATAAGACCCGAAAAGAAGTCTATAATCAAAAACGATATGCAATCTTAGAAGTATATATAGGTGCACATACGTAAATATGGCGCAAGGGGATAGCCTCAGGTCATCTATTTAGCGCATATCTTTGGTATATCGTGTACAGCAAATCCGCAAGGTATCCATTCAGAAGATATCTTGTGACTTAAAAATGTACTGTGTACAATATAAGAAGACATTGTGTGCTATTTGGGTATCCACCCTTCCAAATTTCAACTCCCTATCTCAAGCCGTTTAAAAGTTAATGTTTTCACTTTTTTGTGTCACCGGCTATATAAACTTCAAAAATATTAAATGACCTTAATCCCGTTGGCTTGGTGGTTAAGGCGGCCGAGTCTCAGTTTGGAGGTTCCTAGTTCAAGTCCTACCCACGTCGCCGTAATTTTTCTTCTTTAAAAAAAAAAATAAATTTTTTAAACTGACCTACGTATTGCTCGCGTCAGTCGCCCCGTAGAAAATGTGACCGACGTCGACGGAACACACACATACGCATCCCGAGCAGATAATTGGCCATCGACCGGGATCGGCCTGGATTAATCCATCACCGGGTGATCGCGTATAAACAGGTTTAGGCTTATTACCGGCCGGGATCTATACGGGAGAAGGTTATGAAATATATTACGGGCAATTTTATCTTTAAATAGACTTTAATTACGGGGTAAATTGGTATCGCTCTCTCTTGCCCCCCCCCCCCCGTACACCATGTCCCTATTGTTTTATTATTAGAGGGGCGCTGCAGATGAAATTTTCTATAATTAATCAAGTCCATTTTTTGTGTCCGGTGGAAAATGTCAGCGCCCCCTGGCTCGTGATCGATATCGTGTGGTTATTAATCACCGATTCCGCATCCAATTAAAATATTAAAAGGACGCCGCTAATTAAATCAACCGGTTTTTCTTCGGCGAAAAATAAAAACGAAGCACCGTCGACATTAGGTTACCGATTGACGTAATTATAATTAATTGTGGAATAATTATATTATATGTTAACGAAACGCTAACGAAGCGTCCTCGGGCGGTTAATGTTATGCATTAAAGCTGTCAAAGCGATTAATCAACGATCGATATTTGGCGGGCCCGCTCGCCGCGCTGGATCGCGTCGTCCTTGGATTTTCGCCTGTGCGTATCCCGTAAATATCGCGACATTTCGCATCGTCCAATCCGTCTCCGGAGGACCTCGTACGCTTGGTTGCCCTCATATAACTATAAGATTATATAGTCGTAAAAGTTGATGCGCTACAGGTGGCTATGCTTTTTTCGTAGAGAAGGTATGGATCTTTTGCGCATGCGTCACATTGGACCCAATAGGATCTTAGAGAAACAGTGATTCCTATACATTTTACATTTAACAAACTGGAAAATAGACTTACAAAAATTACAAAATAAAATTGCCTACATTATACCATCTGGAAACCTATAGGAGATATGAAAAAAAAGCTTCCTGAAGATTCAAAATATAGTGTATCCCCCTCCTACATCAACTTTGTTATTTTAAATATATCAACATTTTTGGGATGCTTATTAAAATAAATGTCACTTTCTTAAGAAATTAATATTCGAATTTTGCATAGTTTTGGCAGAAATTGAGGTTACGTGTTTTTTATTTCATATTTTGATTGCCCCGTATAAAATTGTCTTGTGAAGATGTATTCCAACCAAAATTTAAGCACAGACTATGGAGATGATGCACTACTCAATCAGTTTGACAGATGCGCCTCAGCTTATACAGACTGTCCCAAACAGGTGGTGCCGCTTTGGCGAAGTCAATTAACAAAATCTCAATTGGGCACCCTACTTCCTACTTCTTTTAAAGATATAATACTCCATATATACGAATAAAACTTATTGCAAACAATACAGATTGAATAAAACTTCAGAATTCACATTTAAAGAAACATTTCGTGGTTAGCTTGATTAAAAATGAAAAATAAAAAAAAAATCAATTAAAGTTTATCGGCTAACTAACCAAAGTAACAAATTTAAATAAATAAATCATTCAAGCTAGATAATTAGAGTCGAGTTTTCGTCTTCGTAGAACTGGAGTATTAAATCGTAAGTAGCTGCTAAGAATGTAATATGTTTTAATTTACGAGAATTACTGGAAATATAAGAAAACAATTAAGCTACATCTAGCATATCAAAATTTTTCAATAGAGTTTAAGCCTATGACTGTATGAAAACTAACGCTTTGCCCTGATATACAATAAAAAAAAATCAGAAAAAATAGCTTACATGACGAAATACACGTAGAAATTGCATCGTATCTACGGGGATTAACAATAACACCAATTTAATTACAGAATTATACGCGGGTGCTGCAATTTTGCTCTGCTTTTTCACACCTTAACGGCTTTTTTGCCTGAAAATTGAATAGGATTTCGACATTTTTGAGAAAATAATGCCGTAAAAATGACGCATCCAAACATTGATAATGTGTCAGCGGCCATGTTGTTTTTTGAAAGCCGCAAAGCCGCAAGTTCTTAGAGATGATATTAGAGTTGCCATTGGTTAAAAACGAAATTTTAAATCTGAATGGACCTTCTCAAAATGACTTGTATTATAAATGCTATATCGGCATGCATATCAATATGCGCATGCGCGAGATTTACAATCTAGACATCGCTGTTTAGAAAGAAAATGGCGCGCTGAGTTAAATTTGCAGGCACGTGGAAGATGCATTCCATTTTGTTCCATCCATTTCGACGAAAAAAATATTAGAGTTACAATATTATCAAATAGCTATATGATTCTTTCAGGTTTCCAATTTTGAATCCACATTTTATTTTTTCTCTGCATCAGCTGAAGGGTTTTTCACGATCATATCATATAACCGTAGGAATATAAAAATAGCTTTATAAAACTGGGCTTTTGTTCGTGTAAATGGAAAAAAGTTTCATTGGTTGAAAAACCTATGAAAGCACGTCAAACATTTAAAAACGTGCGGCGCGTGTTAAAAACGCCACAAAACAAAATCCGGACCGCTTCTGCGCTATTATTATGCAAAATAACGTGTCGCGATGTATACGTGTTTACGTTTAAAGTATTAGGCGACCGTTTCGTAGCTGGCTACGAGGTTGTATGGGACGCGGATAGTGCGCGCGTGTCGGAAAAATTACTTTCCATCGAGCAGGCGGCGGAAAACCCGATAAAAGTTCCCGATGAATGCTTATATAACGTATCGCATACCGATATACACCCTTTGGCGGCGGAGGCGGAGGCGGTAAATGCGAGGGGTTCGGGGGACATGTTTTCCGGGTCGCGTTTTCGCGATATTTACAAAAAAAAAGTAACGCGGCGTATAGCCATTTAAAAAAAGTAAGTTTATTATTTTTTAAAGCAACGGTTTTGTGTTGTTTTTGTTCTACGACATTTGTTCTATATCAAAAAACAAAGATTTGTAAATACAAATAAAAATTAACTAGTGGTTCCTTGTGACACTGCTGGTGTTAGTTGTGACGTAACTAAATACAATAAAGACTACCTAGATATCATCATCTGAGTCACAGCACGGATCGAGTAAAGCTCTCCACAAATCAGACAAGATGTTTCCGTGTCGTCTTCATCGGAGCTACTTGATGAGGCACTTGCTACTATTGCCTTGCGCTTGTTGTAAATATTTCTTTTTGCATTGCATTCCTTTTCTTGTTTCTTTTTATATTCTTCTTCTAACTCGTGCTTGTTGGGGGTGTCAGTCCAAATAGCCGCACGGCCACGTTTGCCTCCTATTTTGACTAAATTTGACTCATCTGTAGATCTAAATAGGAGGTTAAGTTTATGCTTTTGGGTGACTTCTTTATTGGTGTTCATTTTTTGAGCAACACTTTAAAACAATTACATACATACTAAAACCCAGTGAAAAAGTTTCAAAACATTTGTCAAAATGTGGTTTAAAAATAGCTTTCGGAACTAACAACACAATAGCAAATTATTTAAAAAACAATAAAACGAAATGTCCAAAATCCCAAAAATCAGGCGTCTACAGGTTGAAATGCGGATCTTGTCCTACAATTTATGTTGGAGAAACATGTAGATCCTTCAAGAAACGCATTAACGAACATAAAAGAGCGTTTAAAAACAATAGTCTAGATTCTAATTATGCCACACACTTAAACACAGAAAAACACATTTTTGACGACAATTTTGATATTTTACATACAGCCACAAAAAGTAGAAAATTAAATTTATTGGAAGCCATGGAGATTAACAAAATGAAATATTCAAATGTATGTTTTATGGTCAGTTTTCGGTATATATAGTAGCAGGTAGTTTGTAAATATTACATTTGATAAAGACACGGTGTTGTAGAAACAAACTTTTAGTTTTTTTATTTTGTTCATGTGAATATTATTTTATATTGGGCTGTTGGCCCGTTGATAAATAAATAAATAAAAACTAATCGAAACTAGACTATCGGATCAATCTGCCCGAGCGGCAATTAAGGGTGTCGTCCTCGGATAAAGTTTTCTCATTTCGGCGAGAAGGTTACACGTCCGCGCTCCCGCTGACCGGAAAGGTGTGCCCGGAGCCGCCACGTCACCCGGAATGACGCGATTTCACGCCGCCGATGTGTCCGATATAATCGTATCACCTTTTTTAAAGGCGTTTTTACTGAAATTCGGGCTACAAGCGCCCCACCGGCCCCAGCCACTGCTGCGGGCAGATCTCGATGCGAAATCCTCCGGCTTCAGCTGAGATTACGGCTACGACGTCGTTTTTAATCCGGGATCGACCGGTCTCGCCGCGTAATTCCGTTTTATTGTTGTTCCATTGTTGCCTCGCGTTAACAATGGCAGATAAAACCGCGAACATGTCCTAAATAAGCGGTCACGGCCGTATTTTAAACATAAACTCGATGCCAGACTGCTTAACATCACGGTACGTTCGCTTTTAGAAGTTATCATCGCCGCAGTTCACTCAAAGCGAGTTTGTCGACGTACGCCCCTGATTTAACACCTTCATCCAGCGATATCGGTGGTCCTAATTACTTGTAGTACCGCCAGGCGGGTAGGGGCGGGCCTCGAGGCAGGGTGGGGTCGCCTGCAAAAGTAGACTAAACTGTTTGACCACCGAAACTTTTTATTTATTTTTTTAATATTTAACCGCCAGTTGATGTACACGAACCTTGCACTTGCAGACTACACAAAAAAATTGAAAATTGTTATATCTTACAGTTATTTTTCAAAGAAACTTCCATGGGTTACGGTAGTAGTTTTTATAAAATTTCCTGAGTTCGTTTTTGTTGACTAGAACTTGCTAACGTTTCTCCAATCGTCCTGTTGGCTTCTTCAGAGCTTGACTCGCATTTTACTCTTAAGGCTCTTTGGTGTTCTTTGAGCCTAGTTGCTGTAAACTCCTGGCACCTCAAATGGAATTTTGTCTTTGACTGATCGAAGATGTTGAGAGATATAAACAACATTTTCGGCAGACCTCACCAAGTTGTATTTTTGAAAATCTGGTAGATTGCCAAAGATTATCCTATCTTTAAATACGATTATCAACCTCTTACTGAAAATTATCGACGAATTAATTCATCCTACATTAATTCTCGTTTTACAAGATTCGAGACGGACTTTCCATACATTGACACTGCTGTTATTCTAAAAGCTTATGGCATCTTTGTTCGTTCTCAGTTTACGTGTGCAACGCTATTAATATGAAGGGTCAAATCTGCACCGACTCTACCCAAATTTACCCAAACATCTTACCAATAAGGAAATCTTTTTACTTACATTTTTAATACAAAATAATTTTTGTCACATTTCATTTTATTTATTTTTTTAAATATAATTAAATATAAATTAATAATATATAATGATAATAAACTCAAAAATATGTATTTAAAACTTCATTATTACCAAAAAAATTTTATTTCAATTTTAATTTTCTTTTACCAAAACAAATTATTATATTCAACATAAAAATCTTATGTTCAACAATCAACATATCAAAAAACATATGGTTAAAATATATTTAATTTACGGATATTTCCATTTACATCTCATTTTCAATTTTATTTAATTTCATTAAACATAAATTAATTAAATATAAAAATATTATTTCAAACAGTTTAATCACGACCGGAGCGCAGTAGAGCGAGTATTTAAAAAAAAATGATAAATTTGTTTCTTCAGGTATCTAATTTAGAGCCATTTCTTTTCAGCGATCTTATTTCTATGCCGAACCTAATATTTAACCTTACTGACACTGTCGTGATTGTGAATCCAGCCAAAACAGCAATGATGAACCTAGTAATAACTGATTAGGAAACTGAATCTCGACATTCCTACCTTACCTAATTACTATCGCAAGGGGTCTTGGAGTTATGTTTGATGAGGGCTTCACGTTTATCCCTCACATTCTTCAGTTGGTGGCCAGCTTCTCTAGAACCTTGGATTTGTTCTGCCAAACTGTAAACATTTTTTCCATATATCCTTTAAACTGTATTACATATTACTCCTATGCTAGGACTAAGTTGGATTTTGGTTCAATCATATGGTGCCCTATTTCTAACTGCCATAATCAATCAGTTGAGTATGTTTAAAGGTTTTAGAGAGGCGCCTTAAGCATAACCGTATCCTTCCTAGGTTTGGCGAGACACTCTTGACTGTGCATCGTGACTCACAATCACCATCGTTTCTCCATAAACTCGCAACTCTAAGATTGACTGCCTATTTCTTCTGAAGCAACTATGGCTTCACGTTCTTCTTGCTGCAATTGAAGTCGTAGCTGGAGTTTCTCCCACATATTTTGTGACACTTTTCGGGTTTGGTTGATCCCTTCAGCTTTAACTTTGGTTTTTGTTAATATACAAAAATATAAATAAAAAATCCATAAACCTGTATGATGTGGTATAACACGACCAAAAATATGGTGCATTTACTGCTTTGACGTTTTCAGTATTTTACAGTACCTTATCCGCAGACTTTCGGAGGACCGTTTCAAAATTGATGAAGCACTGATGCTGCGGGGTATTTTCGAAAATGTAGAAGCGTTTATTTTAACATCAGGTGATATGTGTCGTTCTTAAGAGTTTCATCTAAATTGCATTATCTTCGTAAATATTATTTGATTTATGTACCTGATTCTCGAGCTTTCCTAGGCTGTTTTCACTGAATAAATAAAGAAGAAATTAAAGGGAAAAGGGGAAATGATTTATATTTTGAAAAACAACTTCTGGAATTAGTAAAAATAAAACTTTTTAATAAAGACTACAAAATCGATTCGATAGCACAACAAAATGGACATGAAATCTTGTGAACAACGAGTAATAAAAGAAGAAAATATATATCGAGAAAGATTAGTGGCGGAGTTGATCATTGAACGAGGTGACGTAGTACACCTAGTAGACAGTAGGGATAGTGACGATTCTTTAGGTGACTGACACTTAATTATTATTATATGTAATGTTTTGTATATTAGTAATGATACTATGTAGAAATGTAACTAAATAGAAATTAATACATTGTTACTTTGTACTAATTTTTTTATGTGCGTGTTTCAAGAATTGCTCCGCGAAAAAGATTGAAAACATACTGTTAGTGTATGTACATAAATTCCTAGGACGATCCTGGCATGGTTACGGGTAAGGGTTCGCTCGGCAGGGTGTTCTATAAGGGGCTGCGGTTTTAGAGTAATAAACAAAGTTAATCACGGGATCGGTTGTAAAAGCACTATATTTCTGGTGGAAGTATAACGTTGACGGGAAGGAGTAGCCTATCCTGTACGCTGAGTCTACTATAACGGCCGTTTCAGGAAATTGCAAAAGCAGCGTGAGCACATCTGCAAAACGATCTACAGCGGACTGATATCGCTGACCGAGTGCGTCGAATCTTTCAACCTGTCGGCTGGCGGCGGCATCGACAGCGGCTCGTTCAACGTGATCGGAGGCGGTGCGATCGACTGGACGCGTCAAAACCGTGAGTGTATGGACTGGCGCGGGTAAATTCTCGATATTTTTTTGTGCCCGTTTTCAAGGGACTCACGACGGCGCGTCTACGGAGCCCGCGCTCGCGCCGGTCCTGGCCCCTTTTAAGCTCTGGCAAACGATCCTCATCGCGATCAGCTTGGGCATCTGTATCATACTCACCGTTTCGGGTAACATCTTGGTGCTGCTCGCTTTCATCGTCGACCGAAACATCAGACAGCCGAGTAATTATTTCATCGCGTCGCTCGCCGCTACCGACATGCTGATCGGTGAGCACGCAAAGAAAATTAGTCGCATAGAAGAAATAATTCATAGAGCTTTGAAACCTGGACACTGAACTTCCAGCAGCAACACCAATACTGATCCCATGAGTTTTCATCTTCTCGCTGAGGGGTTCAGGCCCTTTCGCTCAAGAGAACACATCAACAGCTAATCTGTTGACTTAACTTAACTTTCAATAAGGCTTACGAAACCCAGACTAACATTTTGTCTACAAATTAACTTTTCAAACACTTTTCAAAGCAATGACAATAAACTAATGGATCAGATACATTATTTGGAGTACTAACTTCAGCCAAAGGCAAAACTATGCATGAAGGGCACGATTGTTGGACAGCACAGTCTAAGCATCTCGAGAAATATTCCATCATTACCTAAAGCTTTGGATTTTAATTGGGATAGACCCAGACTATGTCCTCATGCCATCACCAATGCCAACTCCTCAAGGTTTCAGTGCTTGGAGGATGTGAAAGTAGTCTCACGGAGTCTATAAAATGCTTGTTAATTAATTTTGGAGTTCTTTGATCTTTTGTAAACTTTTAAATGAACGGTCGTACCGCAAAAGTAAACAAATTTCTAATTTTTTTATGTTGTAAATTTTTGGGTTTTTTATATTTAGAAAAAAGTTTAGTACAGATAGGAGCGTAGGAACCAAAATTTTCTTCGTTACCTTCGTCACGTTAGCTCCATATTAGTCTCATAAAAAAACGCGGCCCAGTCCGCATCGAGTAGCTTTCTTCACCAAAATGATTTAGGTCCCAATGCTTAACGAACTTTGGTGGTATTTGTGGAATTTTACATTAAGTGTACAGTAAGGACCTAACGTTGATGTGACCAGGCTGTAAGTTATTAAATTATTGAAGTAGATCTTTCTTCATTCTTTATGGTTACTGGGTTTGCTTCACCATCTTTTCGAACTAATATTCTCCCCTCTCTATGCTTTTTTGGACTGTTTAAAGAGGTGGTACGTTTCTTTGGTTAATTCGTCATCCAAAAAGATCCTAGATTCCTCTTTTTTAACTCGAGTTCTCTGCAGCTGACGCTTATGCTCAGGGGTCACGGTCACCATGAGCTTGGGACAGACCACGTAGGTACCATTTTAACATTCTCAAGATCATTTGGTCTATGCGGTGTATCCAGGTTGGAAAATGGTTTAATGGTTTTATTAGTGGCTTCTTCTTTGCGGTCGGCCTTAGTTACGGATATTTGTTCTTGATTTTCATACTTTTTCCTTGGTTAATTCTTTGATCTTTTCCTCCCCTCGTCAAATTTCTCACCTATAAACTCAAGGGATTTTCCAAATTCTCTTATCTGTTTAAACATCACAAGGAAAAGTATTTATGGCAAGTCTTAGGGTAGTATTTTTACAACGTAATACTACCTACAAATCTTCTAGGTGCCTCTTGCATCGGTTGTTAGATAATCGAACTCGCTGAATCATCCTTTTGGCTTCTTCGACTAACGGAGAGATTCTTGATTTCTTCCGGTGTCTTTTGTATAGATTCGAACATGTTAGTTTCGGATGACGGAAGATTGAGGAGGGACGTTTTGCAGGCACCGTCTCGATGCCCTTCTACACCGTCTACGTACTGATGGGTTACTGGAACCTGGGGCCTCTGCTCTGCGACCTGTGGCTCTCGGTAGACTACACGGTGTGCCTCGTCTCGCAGTACACGGTGCTGCTCATCACCATCGATCGTTTTTGCTCGGTAAAAATAGCGGCCAAGTACCGCGGCTGGCGCACCAAGCAAAAGGTCATCCTCATGGTGACGATCACGTGGATCATACCGGCCCTCCTCTTCTTCATCAGCATCTTCGGTTGGGAGCACTTCGTCGGCTACAGGGACCTGTTGCCCGGCGAGTGCGCGGTCCAGTTCCTCAAAGAGCCGGTGTTCAACACGGCCCTCATCATCGGTTACTACTGGACCACCCTCATAGTGCTTTTCATCCTCTACGGCGGCATCTACAAGACCGCGTTCGACATGCAGAAGAAGAGCGAGGCGAAGCAGCGCAAGATGCAGTCGATGGTGGCGCTGAGCGCGGGCGCCATGTCCGGCATGGCCGGTCGCGCGGCCGGTATCGGCGTCCCGAAGCCCCAGGAGTCGCCGCGGACTCCTCCCCCTAAGGAGGGGGAGAAGAAACAACTGCCCCTCGACGGCCTCAAGGTGACGGAGTCGTGCGGAGGCGGCGGCGACTCGACTTCGACGAGCTCCCAGAAGAACAGCACGACGACGACGACGACGACGACGACGACTGTGGCGGCGCCGAAGAAGCTGCCCGAGCCCGCCGAAAAGTCGGAGAGGTCGAGCAGTCCCGCGTTCGAGTCGGACGAGGAGAGCACCGCGGTCGCGCCCCAGGAGGCCACGGAGAAGCAGCGCCGTTCCGTCGTCGACATCGTGCTGCAGACGAGCGGGATGTTCGGAGGCGGAGGCGGCGGGGGCGCCGCCCCATCGCCAAGCGGTAAAAAAGTGACGGCGACGGTAAGACCATCGCCCCCATCGGCCCTCGTAAACTCGTGCAGTTTCGCGGAAGTGTCCTCCCGCACGCACCCGGAGCCCGTAGCTAGTAGTACCGCCCCCAGGACCCGGAGCACGTACGACCTCCTCGTAGACGGTACCGGTTTGCGTTTCGCGGACGAAAGTTCCGCGGCCCCCCCGACCCCCCGACCCCGCGTAGCGCCATCCGTTAACCGCGCGTCGCCCCCGCAGGTAGCGGTCGTCGCCAGGGCCGATTCGGTGCGCATCCAGACCGAGGTGACGTTGAGCGCGGACCGGCCGATCACGGCGGCCGTGAACGACGACGATGACGAGCGAAGCTGCTCGAGTAGTCCGCGAGAGGGCGCTTCCGGCGCGCCGAGTCAGACAGGTAACGCGGCCGGCGCGATCATGGCCGCCGCGACCCTAGTTAACCGGTCGAAATTTGCTAAAGCAGAGACGACGACGGAGGCGACGACGGAAAGCGCGCGCAAGGTCTTCGTCAAATCGATCGGCAAACGTCTTCGGGTAAAGAAGAGGACGATAGCGGGCCCGCTAGGGGCGCTCGGTCTGCGCCAAAAGTCTAAATCGGAGAATAGAGCGCGGAAAGCGCTGCGCACTATTTCGTTCATATTGGGAGCGTTCGTCGTGTGCTGGACGCCGTATCACGTGTTCGCGCTCGTCGAGGGCTTCTGCGCGGAACCGCCCTGCGTCAACGGCCACATTTACATGTTCTCGTACTTTCTTTGTTACGCCAACAGCCCGCTGAACCCGTTCTGTTACGCGCTGGCCAACCAGCAGTTCAAGAAGACGTTCACGCGGATTCTGAGGGGCGACCTGCACCTCACCTAAATGGGGAAATATGTAGGAAACTGCTAGTAATTGGGATTGTTGTCCTTTTGTCCGAGAACGAGGTGTTCTGGTTGTGGGATAATTTGATTTACCTACCTATTACTACGTATTATTTCTTAAGCCCCTAATGCACTTTTTTTAATCACTCTAGGTACAAAAAAATCATTTTTTTGCAAATAATTACTGTTTACGATATTACTGATATGATTGATATGATGATTTCTCAGCACACTAAACGCCTTCTCCTTCATTTTGCTCTTGCTCCATATTTTCTAAATCCATATCATCTAATTTTCATTTATATCATCTTCATCTTCACTACTAGCCCAGTAATCTTTTTGATCTTTTTTTTTGTATGTACTTGTCTTTTTTGCGTACTTTTTTTACCTCTTTTCTCTTTTTCTTCTTTTATCGTCTTTTTCTTTTGTGATTTTTGTTTTGAGTTATTAGCGCTGTTAGGGGCCTTTTTGGAAAAGATATAATTTCATTAATTGAGTTATTATAAATATTATTGTCACCGGATTCAACACTCGCCGCTATCGGTTCTTCTATGATTCGTTCCGCTGAATTCGGGTACACTTAAAGTCCTCCTTACGAAATACACCAGGGTTCAGTTTATGGCTTTTTCTGCAGTAGAGACTGAAATATGGACTTTGGTAAATATACCGTTAACATCCGTCATCAAAATCCCTTATTAGGGCCTCGATTTTAAAAATAAGTCATATTCATCATCCTAGGAGGTATTGACAACATATGAATTCCATTGTCCTTACAGTAGTGTTACTCGTTTTGGAAAAATATTTCAACCAAATGAGAAATACATCTTCCGTCATCTAAACGCTCTTAGTACATGCGTCAGTGGAACCTGGTGGGCCATTCCGTTCCAAAGATGATGCGATCCTTATTCTAGGTGGAGTAAATAAAGCATTCGCATTCATACAACACACCGTAATATTTTTTCCTCTTTCCCCACTAGTTATAGATCCAATTTGCGTCTGCTCTTTTTGCGCAATGATTCGAAGCTGTATGTTAAACGTAGTGATTCTCATTTCATCGACGTTGAATATGCAAGTTGCAGAAAACTTTAAAGGGTTGAATTTTATTAATATTTGTCGCTTCTGGTTTTCCAAAGCTGAGTGCGGGATGCCTATTCATAAATGCATACATCTAGCGTTCCTTCTTATCCCGATTAACTTTGTGAGGGATAGATAACAGTTCAGCATATGAAAAAGCAGCGCGCCTCGATTGAATTGGTGTAGGACTTTTGCGATAATCGTGACAAATGGTCAGAAATCCGCTCTTGTTCTTCAGAGAATGTGTTCCCTTTTTAAGTCTTTCCTAAAGCCTTGTTACAGTTACCGTGCATTCAATTTGTCTTGATAACATTTTAATTGGTTGTAACTTTTATTCTGTTAGAGATATGAACGTAAACAAAAAATAATGTAGGGTTAGCAGCCAGGTTTTTTCCAAGTGAAGTATAAAAGAAAATCCTATCAATTTGCTAACATATAAACCTAGATCATATTCTTTTGAACATTACATATAATTTCAAAGAGTGCCGTGACTCATTGCAACAACAATAATTATTTACAATATAAAGTAGAACAAAAATATAAAAAATGACCTTACCTTACCTTAAAGTAAAAAATTCTTCAACTATTCTAAATAGTGCTATATGTGAACACATTTCTCGTACACTCCCCAACCCCTGGGATATTCAATGTTAAGAAAACTTTTAACTTGCACAACATTGTGAGGAGGGGCACCGCCTTACTGTCATATAATCAGCGTTGATATATTTAGGGGCAATTCTTCTATATATTGTTCTAATTTGTGCTTTGTGATCTGCAGTTAACTTTTGATCTATGACACCACACCACACATTAATAGATTGGTACCCCTGGGTTTTTATTTCGTGTTTTTGTCTAGGATTGTTTAAAGACCAATATCGCGTATTTTGTCTATTAGAAGCCTTTCTTGTAGTGAACGAACTTTCATCAGTCCATAAAATGTTTTTCAAAAAATTATTATTCACATTATGTCTATTTAAAATATCCAAACATATCTGCACTCTCCTTTAACATTGTTCTGCACTTAGTTTTTGAGTTTTACGAAATTTAAATGCATTATATTTATATTCTTTCAAAACTGAGAGGATTGATCCCCGAGAAACACCTGTCTCTTCAGATACTCTAGTAATGGAGGAAACTGGATGTGCTTCATAGAATCCTAATTAATTTATCTGCCTTATTTTCCTCATTTCAAATATCATGATCCAGCATACCTTCTTAGCATTTAACGCGTTGCCGCGCAAATTTGTTTGCCAGCATACTTTTTACTGCGTCGGTTTTTGCTGAGTCGAACTTGCTGACGTTTCGCCAATCATCCTGTTGGCTTCTTCAGAGCTTGACCGAGAAAAACTTAAACTGTTTCACAAGTTTTGTAAAAAGTATTAAAGTAGCCTGTGGAAGCTCTTTGAAAAATTCTTTGCTAGCCTTGGAAAAATCTGTTTTGAAGGAAATTTTTATATAATTTCAAAGAGTGTCCTGACTGGCAAATAAATATATGTTTATGTTTGACATATTAGTAAACAATGTTGATGGTTGAATTATTGTCCAAGATATGATTGTTAAAATGATTTTTCTCGAATTTAGCAAAGGATGATGTGCTTCAAGTAAACAAAGAAGTTGCAGCCAATTAAAATATTATCAAGATAAATTGAATTCACGGTACATCAAAGCGTCGTGCAGAAAATCTCAGGCCATTACCATTTTGAACAGCATTTATTGCAGACAGCATATTCTCTTCTGTTTACTAGTTAAATCGTCAAATAGGTAGAAAAATTGAGAAAAGTTGTAAACATTCCTCATTGTGATCCGTCTCATTCTAAATTAAATTTTCAGAATCATTCTGGTTCGCTATAGGCGACTAGTTATGCACAGTATCTCCTAAATTTGTTTTATTTTGTTTGTTTATTTTGTTTTGTTTACGACAGCAATCTGAGAACAGCTCGGTATCTTATATTTTCCTACACTAATTTATTCCTTTGATAGGTCAATATTAATAACATCATAAGTTGAATAGCTGTACATCTTAGGTTCCCATGTATTTTGGGTTGCATATTAACGTTTTCCACTTATCGTCACGTCCTGAAAAATATGATTACGTGAATGGTGGCGTTGCTAGGACGCCAATGGCTCAATAGCGACTGATATTGACGTATCGGAGGGTCTAATTTAGACAAAACTATAAACAATAATCACAAAAACCATAATCGATCGTCTGATTAAAGACACCAAATATGGACGTTTCCGATGATTAGATAAACCATGTATAGGGGTCCTGCCTATGCTGATAATATTAATAATATATATTAATATAATATAATATATAATATTAATAATATATAGCGACGATAAAAAAATTAAATGCTATGTGTGGCAGCTATATGGTTTTACCATTCACTTAATTCACAGAGAAAAATAATGAGCGTGGCCGGTACATTTTAGGTTATGTATACGGCCCTTTAGACGTATCCGTGTTTGGTTTACTTTGCTATTTAATATTAAGCGAAAATAACGGCAATAATTTTATAAAAACCTGTCCGGGAATGCCCCAAAAGGTACGCCGCGTATCACTTTTTAGACGTTATAGTGTGTACATAAGGAGAGATTCGTGTGTGTGTGTGTGTGATGTAGGCCGGACTTGCCATAAATATTCTACTCTTACGCACGAGGTCAGTTTTCGTTTGGTTTTTATTGCGGCGCATCAGAAGTAGGGTGGCTTTTATGGGGCGTCCGGCATTTCTAAAGTACCAGACAATAATATATTTAAAATATCCGAATTACAATACCCCGCTATGATGTATATTTTCCAGGGTCGAATACGGACCTGCGTGATTGCGTTCGTGTATAAATCGTTTGTATCAAAAAATATCTGTAACGAGTAATGCGTTTTCGGACGAGCAGATGTGTATATTAGCGTCAACGTTGTCAAGTAGCGACAGAAAAAGTAGCGTCAAACTGCTGTACTGAGCCCACAGCACTTTCGCGACGACTTTTAGACGGAAATAATAAATCTTCATTTTCTATACCCGCGTGTAATTTCATTTTCCCTTTCATACCTGTAATAGCGTAAATAAAACACTGAAGTGCTCCAAACGCTTTTGAATTTATTTTCAAATCCAGGATGTGTACACTTAACCTTATCAGAATCATAGAAGCTTCGTCTTCTTTGGTTTTCCTTAAATCGGACACGTTAACCAAACCGAAGAAATTCTTCTTTTCTTCTTTACCTTTCCTTAAGTGGGTACGTAAACCATAGAAGTTACGGCAGAATGGCCGCACCACAGAAAAATGCTATTGTGTGGTGGAAAGGTTTAAACGATTACGCAACGCTCTTTAGCGACTTGGATCTTAAACCGTCCAATATACCACTTCTCGTTATCTGTGCATCAATCTATTAATCGTCAGTTGATGCCAAGAGAATTTTCTTAGGAAGTCCGTGTATTATAAAAGCCGAGTAGGGGATTTGAATATTAGGAAGATATTGATGGAAGGGGATGGATGAGTCAGATCATGGTAAGTTTGCATTTTAACTACCAGCCATAAGTGGGATCAGTTTAGAGAAGTAATAAAACCATTCTTATTTTAAAGAACATTTATTTAGTTAACTCACTTAAAGTCGTAAAAAGTTTATCAACGCAGACGACTAGATTTTTTAATTTTGAAATTTCGGTAATCAGGCGACCTGGATGTGTTCCATAATAAAATAAGCAATGTTATCGGTGTATCAATGAGTCAAGTACCTTAACTTGCATAACTTAAACTCCCAACCAAACAATTTGCTCCTGATAAGTACTTCTTTTTGCAAATTATTTTTACGCGAATTCAGTTGAAATTGATAACTTGAGGAACTAGGCACGGAAAACCTTTTTTCAAACACAAACTACAAAATACAGAAGTGAAATAAGGAATATTATGAAAAAATCATCCAATCAATGGCAAGCCATGTTGGGGCGTAGCGGCGCTGTTGGAAAAGAGAATTTTTGTTTGGTGTAGCTTGAATTGTTTTTTTTTATGAACAAAAGCGGCGAAGCCTTAAATACAAATATCTAGAGTTTTACGGTTAAATTTTTTAATCCTACATCATCGAGTCACTTCGACTCCTAGGTTGGCTTGTTGTTCCGGAATGGTCCATACTATTTGAACTAGACGGGATCGGAGACGCGTTTGGCGAAGGGCCGAATATCGTTCGTAGTACGTTTTGCACGCTGGCAGCTGTAAAAAATTATCAACACCTACACCAAGCCCATTTTCTTGGTTTTCTTTCTTACCCTGGCCGGTAGCTTGCTCCACACTCTGATCCTGACCTGTGACAATCTCTCCGTTGTCATTTCCCAAATTCTGCCGACAAATGGGACATGTCCCGTGCAATTCCAACCATGGCCGAATGCAGTTCTCATGGTAAACATGCTGGCAAGGCAACTGCCTGACGGCCTCTTTGAATGAGAAATGCTCCCAGCAAACGGAACATTGCAGATTGGCCGTCACTTGTTCTTCCGTGACCTCCACCACTTCCAACGCGTCTATCACGGCTTTGGAAACGGGAGGCGGACCTAAAACACCTGTCTGATACCTAGCTTAAATTGTTGCAACATTGGTCTCACCTGTGCTGTCCATCTGATTTAAGAGTTGGGTAACAATGGCGTCCAAGCCTTCCCTGCCCCAGGCGTAGTCACCGGGATTGCCTAGAAACAGCTGTACATTGCCCGGTTCGCCCCAATTTACTCCGACGCCCAAGTTTATTATAAAGTCTTGTATTAAATTTTCCACTGGTACCTGCTGTCTCAGATTTGAAGATGCCAATCTCGTTAAGGTCCTGAATTTACGCGAGATGTCAATAACGTGTGATTTAATACTGTAAACTTACCTGGGCCGGGCTCCAAGTCTTATCCGTCTGGTATCAGCTCTGGTTCTGCCCAAACGGGGCAGCGCGTTCATTGAATTGCCCCCCGCAGAATCTTGATCCTGTAACAGTTACAATGCAAGAAAGCGCCACGATATCTTTAAAATCGAGAACTACCATATCTTCGTCCTCCCAGTTTTGGACGTCCATAAGATCGGACAAGGACTGCGCATTGTTAGATTCCGCGATGTCCTGCAGTTCTTCGATAAATCCGTCCGAGCAGTGAGGGCACGTGAAGTTCTAAAACAAACGCAACACCGTGGTATCAACTGATAAAAATTCATTGATTAAGACTTACCGAGGTGGTGTTCTGAAACTCCACCTCGCACACGTGGCAGTAAAATCTAGTCGGCGGCCTTTCTTCTACTGCTACTTCTGCCATGTTAATTTTTGTATTTAATCCGAAACTGTAAAATTTTTCTGGAGAATGTTGTGTTATTATAATAAAATGACAGTTGCCAAGACCACTCGGCTGACAAGTACTGCGTGAGAACGTTTCGCGCAATTCTTCTTTTGTGGCTATGTCCTAGCTATCTCGGGCGAGTGACGTTCGCAGTCTTGCCTAACGGGATACGTAAAGAAAAGAAGAACTCCTAGTCAGCTCGTGATTTTGGCTCCGAAAGTGAAATCATTAATTAGTATCACCGACATCCATCTTTAGCAGGGACATCAACAGATAAAACAAATTGCCCTACGAAGGCACCGTTCGTAAAAATCCAGTGACATGAAAACGGGCAGCGCAGACGCTTCTTCTTTGTGTGCGGGGCCTGCTGACCAGTGACTCGCTCGATTTTGCTATGTCAAAAACACGACGATAAAATCACGCGCAATTGAAAAACGCGCCACAAACGGTTTCTCACGCGTTCTTAAGGTTTCATTTTCGTCTCTATTTTCAAAGCGTACCGCAATATGAAAACTATGAAGTATATTTTGGTGACGGGTGGCGTGATTAGCGGGGTCGGTAAGGGCGTTATTTCCAGTTCTTTTGGGGCGATACTGAAGTGTTGCGGTATCGAGGTGACCATGATCAAAATCGATCCTTACATCAATTTGGACGCCGGCACGTTTTCTCCTTACGAGCACGGTAATTGAATTAATCGTTTGTTAGGTTCAAATATCTCTTAGGCATCAGAAAAGGCCTATTTGGACCGGTTCCGTATGAACATACATAACCTCCAAATAAAATCAACTCTTTATGGCGATATAGGAGTACGCGATTTTTTTGAATAGACCTATATCCCGTAGGGTGACATGTATTCAAATTCATGCCGTGCTATTTTTATTAACAGTGGTTTCACTTTAATGCACATATCTAGCCTATGTGTACACAGAACTATATAAAGAAGCACTTAATAATAGTGGCGATACGGCACAAAGTTTGTGCATGCACACAACTAATTCATGTTGCAGTTCATTAGAAAAGTTATTTTTTATGATTGCACTGCTCATATTTCATTTTGTGAATTTCTACATAAATTTAAATCCAAGATTATTTAACATTATCACTATTGCTGTAATGTTCCTAAATACATTGTTGGTTCATATCAGTAGTAGTAGTAATTTCGCTAAGATTTTTGAAAAGTATTTCAAGGACAGATTGATAAATTTTTTTAATACTAAATCCATAATTTCTCTCAATCAATATAAAAATTTAAATAAATTTAAAATTTTATACATATATTGGTCAGTAAATAATATTTTACCAGAAGAGATAAAAATATTACTAATTCTAGAAAATATATTCAAGCTTGTAAATCCTTTTTACGACATAACAGTGAAAGGTGGCAGTCTCTATTTGAACGACCAAACCGTTGTTGTAATAGATTTAGAAGTTGGGGGTATTATTTCCGCGCTATTGTACATACTATGTAATATATTTTTTTGATAAAATTTCATCAATGATCATACGGCACATACAAATGCTTGTTGCATTTAGGAGCCACTGATTGTGAGATACATGTACATGTGAGATTGTACTTGTTGCGTGTTGTTTGGTTTCATGTAAATACTGTGGGTAAATAAATAAACTGTTATTATTATTATTATTATATTTCTTAACTTTTCACCCTATTTTATTTATTTTCTAGAGAAAAATAAGAAAACTTTATAGCACATTTTGGATAAATAAAAAAAACTGTTGGGCTTAAATTAAAAAGAAAAACCTTGGCACTGGTGAACAACTAATGTATAATAGCAATTTTTGTACGTACAACAAAAAAAATACAAACAAACAAATGATTAGGCGAGGTGTACGTGCTTGACGATGGAGGCGAAGTGGACCTGGATCTGGGAAACTATGAGCGGTTCCTCAACATCACTCTTCACAGCCAGAACAATATCACTACCGGTAAAATATACCAGCAGGTGATCAACAAAGAACGTCACGGCGATTATTTGGGAAAAACCGTGCAAGGTAGCGTTCACGGGACTTCGTAACTCGTCCTATATCCCCCGCGGGGGTTTTTTGCTTTAGTGGTGCCTCACATAACAGATGCTATCCAGGAATGGGTAGAAAAGGTGGCCCACAAACCCGTCTCGGAGAACGGCAAGGTCCCGGAAGTATGCATCATAGAACTAGGAGGCATCGTCGGAGACATAGAAAGCATGGCGTTCATCGAGGCGTTCAGGCAGTTCCAGTTCCGGGTGGAGCGGGACAACTTCTGTGTCGCTCACGTGTCACTCGTTCCTCAGCCTAAGACCACGGGCGAGTCGAAAACCAAACCGACCCAGACGTCCGTACGGGAACTAAGAGGGGCGGGACTCTCGCCCGACATTATTGTCTGCCGTTCGGAGAGACCGATCACGCAGAACGTCAAAGAGAAGATATCCAACTTTTGCCATGTGGCGACGCAACAGGTGACGTCACTGGACGGGTCGCGCGTGCGCGCAGCTAACTTCGACCCCTGTTCCAGATAATTAGCGTGCCAGATCTGTCGTCGGTCTACGAAGTGCCGGTGTTCATCGAGAAACACGACATGGCGAAGTTCCTGTGCCACCGCCTGCAGCTGGGCATCGGGCCGCTCCCGCCTATGAAGCGGTACATGACACCGTGGATCGAGCTAGGAGCGAAGATGCGTCACCTCAAGGACGAACTCTCGGTGGCGATAGTCGGCAAGTACACGCGTCTCGAAGACTCTTACACGTCGATCACCAAAGCGCTGCACCACGCGGGCAACAAGATCGGCTACAAGGTCAACATCAAGTTCATCGAGGCGTCCAATTTAGAGAAGACGATGCTCGTCGATGACCCCGCCTCCTACCACAGCGCCTGGCGCGACCTCTGCCTGTGCGAGTACGTTTGTCGCGTCCACTGAGTGGATTAAGTATTCGCTACACCTTTTACCACTCCAGCTGTATGGTGGTGCCCGGTGGGTTCGGTAAGCGCGGCGTGGAGGGGATGATCGAGGCCGTACGTTGGTGCAGGCTCAACGACAAACCCTTCCTCGGCATTTGTCTCGGATTCCAGGCAGCCGTTATCGAATTTGCCAGGAACGTACTCGGGCTCGAAGACGCTTACTCCACCGAGGTGAAGGAGGACGCGACGAATCCGGTCGTCATCGACATGCCGGAACATAACCCGGGCGCAATGGGCGGTACCATGAGGCTGGGTAAACAGACGACAGTGTTCAAAGCGTCGTCAGCGGATAGTAAGATCAGTAAGTCGAGGGCTTGGGGGGCGGTCCGCTCAGACACAATCCCGTTAGCGAAGTCAATGAGTGATGTGAAAAGCATAACTTACTACTGAATTCTAAAAAGACTAGATTGTTAACTTTTTAAAAATTTAAAGGTAATGAGTAGACTTCGGATTTTTATACACAGAAAATGCTTAAAATATTGTCATAAATATGTCTGGTTTTTCCAAAAAATATGTCAAATATATGCTTTTTTTCTATCATCTATGTACTTTTATGCCCTTTATTTTTTACATATAAACGAAAAACGAAAAAAATTATAACATTGTATTTACAGTTTTTAGACAAAAATAATACTTAATTAGGAGTAACATTAGCTAATAATAAACTAATGATAAATATCTATAAACCTAATCTATATTAAAGCATTATGGTAAAAACTATTTAGTTTTACAATCAGACCTATTATTATTGTACCAATTGACAGTTCCCTATTCTACTTGGAACTTTTTTCAACAAATGTTCGCACTCTTCTACTATTGAAATTGATCCTAACAAAGACGTTTGTTTGGTCTTTAATTTTTTAATAAAGCCACTTAAAAAACTAAAATTAGCTTTGCTATACGTCAACTGATCTATAAGCTCACATTTTTCATATAAATTTTTGTTTTTTTTAATTGAATCTGCTGAATCTGAGATATGTAATACAATGATTTTTATTTGATTAAAGTCAAATAAGGCTGCGTCTAACTACGTTCCCCATCGAGTAATTACGGGTTCAGGAGGTAAAGGAACATTTGTGTCTCTATAAACATGAACTCAAAGAGGTGCTTTAACAAATATTTTTTTTGAGTTCTAAATTAAAGAATCTACTAATGGAAACTGACATCTAATTTCCTCGCCAACTCTATTTATTCCATGGATTAAGTTTTTATAAAAATAATTTAAATTTAACCCTGTTTTTGTCATATACGCTGCTGCGTCGGTGACCAAGAGAAGTATTTTATTGATTGGTAGTATATGTGGAGCAAAAGAAGCCATTAAACTTTCATTTACAAATCGAACAATCATTATAGTGTTAGTTTTTTCCAACTGTTTTGTACTTATTAAAAGAGATTTTGTTTTACATTTTCATTCAAAACATTAACTAATAAATTCGCAACATAGCGACCACAAGCATCTGTTGTTTCGTCTACAATAATGCAAAGATGATGATTTTTTAATATGATTTCTTATGTCTTGAATTACATTTTTGTAAATGTAGTTTTTTCTGAATATTTGCAGTTAACCGTGCTTCACATAAGTATAAATCAAAATTGTCTTGATCAGTTGTTCTTGAAGATGACGCTGATTGCACTATTGCAAAGAACTCGAAAATGAAATTTAATTGTTTTTTATTCTCTGCCATCCACTTTTATGTTTTCCAGTGGCTATGTGCTGGTCCATTTGTAATTTTTTCTCACATGTAACCTTAAAGGTAAATATTCATTTTAACATAATGTATACTATTAATTATCTAATAATAAATCAACTTAACACTGTTCCACAAGCCTTGCAAAATACTTCATCTTTGTCAAAAGATAACTCTGGATGATTTTTAATTCATACAGACACCAAATGATAATTCACTTAATCCTTAAGTAACGGGATTTGAAGGCTCTAAATAGAAAGTCCACAATATTGCAGATACATTTAATTTTCAAAATCTCAGTAATAAACTAATGAATGGGTCAAAAATATGCTATTTTATGCTCGAAAAATATTTTACAACAACATAAGCTTCATTTATGCGAAATATGTAATTTTTTTATATCATTAATCTAATTATTTCATTCTAAAACGGGCATATCCAAAATATTGGGTTGATATTCCTAATAATAAAAAAGATGTTTTTTACATCAAATCCTAACTGTAGTAACGAGTCATTTCGTTTAAAGCTGGCCAGGGATCAATTCCTGGTGAAAAAAATGACACAGCATTTGTACTGTAATTGGAAGGTTCAGAGGTAGACAATATAAAACTATAACAACTTTTTATGTGCAATTGTGCAGTTTCCAATATATTTGCATGTGTGTATTCATAGCACAACAGTGCATTATTTTTCATTGGTTACATTTATTTTAAAACTATAGTGTCTATGAAAACATGCACTAGAAACAGCAGCTTCAGTTCATAGCTCCACTTTTTTTGAAAAGGGGCTTTACCACAAGGCTATAAAAACTACATATTAACTGTCCCTGTTAATATTTGTAAAATATGACTCTGATAATATAAAAAGAAATGATCATATACATAAAGAATTGGAGGTTTGGATCTTGGTCTGCGTGATTATGTATTATCTTTTTAGGCTGTAAAACAAAATAAATAAATCTTATTGTAGGACGGCTCTATGGTAACCCGAAAGAGATCGAAGAGCGGCACCGCCACCGATACGAGGTGAACCCCACCTATATTGACGAATTGGAGGAGCACGGTCTCAAATTTATCGGGGTGGATAGAAACCAAGAGCGGATGGAGGTACTCGAGCTCGAGGGTCATCCCTATTTTGTGGCGGTGCAGTTTCATCCCGAGTATTTGTCCAGACCCATGAAACCTTCCCCGCCTTTTATGGGGCTAATACTCTCCGCTAAGGAGAGGCTCAAGGGGTACTTTGCAAGGGGTTGCAAACTGTCACCCAGAGAGCCCCAGTCCGACTGTTACGATTCAGGCGAGTGTTTTTTTTACCTTTGATTTGCAGCGTCGGAAAAAGGTTAGATTGGGGGAAGATGGAGATAAAATTTATTACTCTGTAAAAAAATATAAAAAATACTTTTTAGGTTCCTTAATAACAAAAAAAGTGGCAGTGGTTTGGACTATTCCTATATGTACATTTTTTTTGTACTTTTGTTCTAGTTTTTTTAAAAATATGTAGAAAGTTCTAAATTAGCATTTATATAAGTGTCAATATTTTTTAATTCGAAAAGTATGTGATGCGAATATCAAAAAAGTTATGTTTTACTTTTTCAAAAATTAAATGAATTAACCAAAAATGCCAGCGCGATGGCGGGGGGAGGAGGGGGGTGGAGCAAGTGGCAGTAAAATGATCTCAAACATTCCTATATGCATATATTTTTTTTGAATTGACAGGGATAATGAAACTATTTTTTTTCTAAATAACGAAAGATGGTTGGCCCTGGCAGCTTCTTATATGGATATACGAGGTGTGTCCAACAAGTAAAGTGACTTTTAAATTTTATCAAAAAGTATGTATTTATGCATCAAAATTAATGTTGTTCCCTTCAAGATATAATATCAACATTATTTGTTTCACTTTTTAAACGCTTTCATTGGTTATTGACGTGCTGGGGTGTCCAGAACGAGGTTCGTCATGGGCGTATTCTCCACCATTTTGGAAGAGTTTGTACCACTTATAAACATTTTATTTGCCCAAAGTAGATTCACCTTATGCCGTTGTCAACATTTCAAATGCAGCTGTGTATTCCATTTTTTACACAAGTTTTGAAGCAAGTTCTTGGTTCCATTTTTTTTTTTGACAGCAGAAGAAAAAAAGTAAACGTCAAACTGACTGAAACTGTAAACATATGTTAGGGAGATGCATGCCAACTAGTGTTGACCACTTCTTAATTGACTAATCAAAAAATGGTTTAAATAATATCTTCTCATTGTAGTGTTACTTAACATTATTTAATAATAATTTACCTTCAAGGAATACCCAAACATGATGCTAAGCGATTCGGGGAATCCCAATGATAATATCGACTTCATTGGGTCCCCAGATCGACGCGACAGCGACGTAACACACAATATAAATAAATATAAATTTCATGGTATTTTTTTAAAATTATTTCGATCAATTGAGGTCAATTGACACAAAAAAAATTGTATCTGTCAATTCCACAACTCTAATACAAACATAAGAACAACTTACTTTTTGAACACACCTCGTATATTTGTTTGATTTCACAGATATGTATGTGGTGGGCGCGAATTTTTTATATTTTACTTGCCAAAATTTTTGAACGTTCCAAATAACCCAAACTGATAGTTAACAACCTTAACAACCAAATAAATTTATAGCACCGTTGTCAATTTTTATTCTAACCGGTGAATATTTATACTTTCATTTGCAGAAGACGAATTGAACGAGTTGACAGTAAAAAAGATAAATCTCGACAAAGACGAGGACAACAGCAGCGCTTATAGTAGCTCCAGCTTGTTGTAAGTTGGCCCCATCGCTAGCCGACATCAACTCCTTATTTATTCCTTGCGCTTTTTTTTTTTGTTCGGGAAAAATAGAAAGTCCAATTTTTTTCCTTTCTCTTCTCTGTTAAGGACAAAATGTCATTTAAGTTAAGGTGGAATCGCTCATCCTGTCTATTTTCAATGTGGTGTACAGAATCATTAAAAGTTAACGTTACGCGGGTTGTTTTACTTTTTGAGCCTTAAGAGGGCAACACTTCCCACAACTTTCTCAGCGTGAACCCCTCCTTTACGGCCTCGACCGCGAGACCCAGCTCGCTGGAGTAGACCAGCGGCCTGTCCTTCTTGTGGGGGCCGTCCGCCAAGTACGCAGCTAGCGTGTTTGTCATTTCGCCTTTGGGATCTTCCGCCACTTCCAAATCGTCGAGGATCTTCGTGTCGCCGGGCGGATCCTCCCGTTTCGCGCTCCAGTTGTACTCCACTCCATAGATCGGGTTGTTGGAATAGACCGAGTATAGGGACGACAACTCCTTGTAGAGGGCGTTAAGTCTGTCCTCGGGATCGATCTTGAAGCCGAGGACGAAGTTGCCGCCCCTCTCTGTGCTCTTAATTACCAGGGCTTTGCCGAATTTTGAATCCTTAATGCGGATCTGCGATAACAGGGTCCCCGTATACTGATCATTAAAATTTTTTAAATCGACGGGTTTGGTTTGAAGAAAAAGAGAATTTTCAGGAAATACCTATTTAGGTAATTATTCAAAGAAACTTCCAACTCGAACTAGCTAACGTTTCGCCAATCATCCTGTTGGCTTCCTCAGAGCTTGACAAACTCGTATTTTACTCCGTACCTGTTTATATATTGTTTGACGGGGGGCGGAGCTAAATTAGGAGCATAAACACCGTCTCGGCTGTCGCGGTCAAGATTGTTAGGTTGTTTATAGATTTCTCTTCGGATTTTTCGTTGTTAAAGAAATAAGTACATGCAAAAATTTTAGTTTTATCGATTAAAATTTCATGTCCGGTTTCGTGATTGTGTTCAGCAACTGCCGACGAGTTTATTTGGCTTAGTTTGAAGGCTCTTTCATGTTCTTTGAGCCTAGTTGCATATACATAATGCTGTAAACTCCTAGCATCTCAAATGGAATTTTGTCTTTGACGGATCGAAGATGATGAGATGTTTGAATGTAAGGAAGGACCACAGTGGCAAGTGTAAGATTGCTTTCGGCCTCATTGCTATTGAAAGGTCGGGGTGAAGTGTATTTTGTGATGGAACGCTTAATATCTTTAATGTGGAAATTATTAGAGAGAAAAACATAGGTAAGGTGTCTTAATTCTGTATTCAGTGACTTGGGCTGCGATAGCTATCTCTGCTCGAATCGCTGAAACCATTCAGAACATCAAATATCAAGAGTTCTAAAGAAATATAATGTCAAAACCAGATTTACCATTTGTCCATAAATCTCTCATCATCTTCGATCCGTCACAGACAAAATTCTATTGGAGATGCCAGGAGTTTACACGCGGATAGCGCACAATATCCCCAGTACATCCGGTCAATGTCCCATTCAAGTCGCATGTCCCGGGACATGTCAAGGATTTTCTTAGGATACACGTTAGCACAAAATCAACTTTTTTTTATTATTTTTGGACACGTTCGAAACATGAAACGTTTTTTAAATAAAAAAATATCACAGACACACTGTTCGGCCGCAACCAATGACGCAACTACTCGCGGTCGTGCCGTGCCGGATTCGTTCGAGTCTCGTCGGCTTGTCTTCCGTCTCGTCATCCGCCATCTTTTCGTCCTTGTTTTTATTTTATTTTTTGAGTATTTTGTGTACTGTGCTTACTACTTTCAGTGCTTGCAGTATTATATATATATGCTGATTTCAAATGAACTTGGAATGAAATTTAATGCTTGGACATGAAGAAAAAGGAGAAATTTTCAAAAATAAAATTGGCGAAATTAAAAATAAATAGGACGTAAATGTTATATAAATAAAGTATAAGAAATATAATTTAATAAAATATATATTATGGCGATTGTTTACTTGATACTTTTTTTAAGGAGTGATTGCTGGACCGAGTTAAGATAAAGCTGACTTTTTTGTAAAATATATACCTATATTATACGTTTTAGATTACATATCTTTTTTGATTCTAGACTTCTTTTTGTATGTTATTGCTTTGTTTTTGAAAACAAAAATAAAATCCACTTTCTCGTCATGTTTTTTAGGCATACAAAACAGAACTAATTTTTTATTTAAGTAAGCAAAGTTAGAGAAAATCCCCCAGAACAAAATTATATTTTTAATTATATAGTATAGTTAGTATATCTTTTCTTAAAATCAAAGAGATCTTACCAATGAGAGTTTAATGAGTTTTGTATGTAAGCTCACTTTCATGAGAGTACTATCAGCGTCAAATCAAGCCTTTACGCAGGGATTTTTTAAATCTGTTTTTTAAACAAATAAGATACCACTCTTGTTCATTGGTTTTTTAAATAAAGTACAGATATATAAAACCTCTCTTTCTCAAAACTGAAATTTTTTTCACATGCGAATAGGAAGTCAAACATCACAAACATCAAAAGAATATGAGAATTCAATAGCTGCTTGGCTGAAAAGAGGTACTTTCACCAATATTTAAGATACTTTAGGTTAGGTTGTTTTATATTTTTGCTATATTATATACCCACAATTTTTCCATATTTACAATAGAAAAAAATATATAAATTGTGTTTCATTAATGATATCAATCAGCAGTCCTTCACCTTTACCATTAAAAGCAAAATTAAAGATTACATATAATTGTAAAAAACTTGTACATTTCAAATATCGCCTGCTATTCCAGTGATGACTTGGTGAAATATGGTATGGTTGGTGAACCATACCCAATAGCTTAATTACGTAAAACACGAGTATCAAATACTGGGATAGTAGTAGTACAACCAATTGGACGGCTGGACTTTACCTTTCCAGTATTTCTCATAGGCTTTTGGAAATAACCTAATAAGTAACGTCCACTGGTACATCTATATAAGAACCTATATCCTCACAGTCGGATATACTAACGACGTCTCAACTAGTATCCTTAGTATGTCGTAACAAACATCCGGCGTTCCAATTAGTAATATCCGATATCCTTGAGATGTCTTAAGGATGTCAATTAGCTGAAACAGTATAACCCTAGGATATACGCTATGTCCCGTCAGATATCCCGAGGACCTTTTACGGACGTTCTTGTGCTATTTGGGCAGCATTCCATGTATATGCGGCAAAGAATATATTGGAGAAATTTGATGAAAAATGTCAACTAGGCTCAAAGAACATGAAAGAGATTTAAGACTATGACAAATAAACTCATCAGCCGAACACAATCACGAAACCGGACATAAAATTTTATTCGATAAAACTACAATTCTTGCATGTAAACAATTCTTTTACCAACAAAAAATCCGAAAGTCTATAGAAATCTGTAAACAACTAAACAATCTTAACCGCGACATACGAGACGTTGTTTATGCCCCTCATTTAGCTCCGCCCCCCTCAAACAATATATGAGCAGGTACAGAGTAAAATGCGAGCCAGTTTCAGTCAAACTCTGAAGAAGCCAACAGGACGATTAGCGAAACGTCAGCAAGTTCGACTCAGCAAAAACCGATGGAAGAGGGATTCAGAAGTTTTGTAAAAAGTATTACCTATTTAGGTATTTTAATTGCCTCTAGAACACGAGATTGGTTCGAAGGTCCAAATTTTTCCAGGTGACTTTCAGGGTTTACTTACGCTTTCTATCTGAAGATAAGGCAGCGATATGTTGAAAGCCTCGTTGACGTCAGCGTACCAGACCAATCTGACGTTGGTCACGACGAAGGTACCGAGGCTCCCTTGATCGCTCGACAGGTTCCACACCCCGTGCTGGTTGGAGAAGATCTGCTCCAGAGGCAACATTTTTAGTTGCTTGTTGTGAATGATTCCACCTCTCAACCTCAACTCCCGGTACAGCTTGGACGATACGAAAGCCCTCAAGAGAGATACTTAAATTAATCGGGCTCGACCCTCCCCTAGTCGTAAAGCTTACTTGTGCACTCCCATGACCGAAGTGAAGTGTCTGACGTTTCCCGGCACTAGGTTCGTGAAAATAAACTCGTAGCGCGTGCCACCAGACAGAGTGAGCAGATCCAGCGCCTGCGTAGTACCCCTGAGTTTCTGAAAAATACGTAACGGGTAAGTAGTTCCGATGTCCTGCGCAGAAAAAACCGTACCGAGTTGACGATCTTCGTGTTTATCGACAGCACACAGTTAAATCCGATTGCTAGGAATGGGGACGCACAGTATAATTAAATAAACTACAGAAAAACGATACGTTACATAGGTTAATCCTCGGGCTGGTCATCGAGTGCCATAAAATCCTAACGTTCGTCACGATCAGCCGACCTCTGTCACCCGCATTGCCTTTGGTATCTTCTATGTTGTCCAGCTTATCTATGATCTTCTCTCCCGGCCTCAGTCTCATTTCCCTACACGAAATGCAAAAGGTGCCTCTGTGCAATCGATTTTTGTATACTTACAAGAAGGGGATATCGAAATTCACTTCCCTATCTTCCCAAGTCAACGCCATTTTTTGTAAGAAACTGGGCGACACAAATTCGATAGTGTGTGTAACCAGTTGTTGTCTTGGAAACTGCTATGGAATTATATTTGATGGAAATAAGTGTGAAGGCAGCGTGTCGAACGGCCTGTAACGGAATAGAAGAAGACTCGACTTGCTAAATCGGAACCGACCAATTTTTCTTTATGGTGGGATTGGTGGTAGAGTTTCGTTCTTGTGTAAGTGCTCGCGAATTTTAAAAACTTGCTTGTGAATTTTTGTCTATTCGCAATCGAGGTACAAGTGTCGGACGGATTTGACCATAAGCGCGAACATATTTTCAACGCTGAAATAAGGCCCTTCGGCTCAGAGTACTTGAAGTAAGTTGTGGAATCAATCTATATACGTGTGTTTAATGAGATATTTCATGCTAGTTGCTATTTACCAAATGATTAATAAGTTGTGAATTATATTATCGCGGGAATTAATGGTGGGAAGTTAGCAAAAACCCTTTCAAAGCGCATCAGCCTATCGAAAATTCCTAACCGTTCCGACAGAGGGCGGTAATTTGAAAAACGTACAATTGAGGGCGTGTATGAAAATAAGAATATTTTTCTTCCCTACCTTTTAGTGAAAGGGTACGAGGACCATTGAAAACCATTTTTTAAAAACGAAACACGTTTATATTAGTAATCGCGCGATAAACAATAATCGTATTAACATATAAATAATAGGCTACATTATATAAATAACGCTATACACACTAATGGCAATATAATTAGTAAGGTACGATTTTCGAAGGCACATTCGGCACCCCAATCCGGGCCCGCCCCTAGCATAATAAACCTGAGAGCCATCTTCTTCGTTCGCCACAGTCTATTCTCAAAAAACCTCGCTCCTTGCGTTATTTCACAAGCGGTACATTTCTGTAGATGTCGCTCCGTGCGTGGTTCAATGACAACACCTTGGCCACGATGTTTAGGTCTTCGTTCGATCTTCCGCCGAACCCTGAGTTCACTAGTAGGTTGTTTAGTTGGTGGTTAACCCTTTGCTGGGGAAAATATCCGCGAGCCACAGTTTGAGGCGACTCCAAATTGGACCGGAAAAACCGGTTGTTTTGTTGATGCTGGGGTCCCAAGAACGCTGAATTTTGATTGTACCTCGATGAGTCGGTCAAAAAGAAACCGATCTCGTGTCTCGAGGGAAAAGGCTGCGAGGACTGCTGTATCGAGAAGCCTCTTCCGAAGTTGCCGGTGCCGGACTCTTGGCGGTGGAATCTGTTCTGCTGCTGCGCCGTCAGCAAGTTGTTATAGTTGCTCGTGGGAAACGATTGGACCTGTTGCTGAGGAGGCTGAGTCTGTCGCGAAGATTGATCGAAGCCCAAAGTCACTTGGGACTGCTGTGGGAATGACTGGGTGTGTTGGAAAGGTTGAAAAGCTGACTGAGGTTGCAGCTGAGCTTGCCCAAACGGCTGAACCGACTGGAAAGCTGGCTGAGGCTGTTGAGTCGGCTGGACGGTCTGAAATACTGGTTGAGGTAATACATGGGCGTGTTCAGGTCTCTGGCCTGACTGAAATGCTAACTGAGGCTGTCGCTGGAATGATTGGCCAGACTGAAACTCCACTTGTGATTTCTGAGGAGAAATCGGATTTTGTTGGAGCGAATGGAAAGCTAGCTGTACGGGCTGAAAAGCTGTCTGAGGCGACTGCTGTGCCTGCTGAAAACCCGACTGAAATTGCAGTGGTGACGTTTGAACTTGCTGAGTCGACTGGAAAGTTAATTGAGGCTGCTGACGTGTCAGTTGATGCGAGGGCTGTTGAGTCGGCAGCTGTGGCTGTAACGACGGCAACGTTTGACTCTGTGTTTGGACGTTGCCGAAGGCAGAGGGGTTGAAGAAGTTCGTCCCGGAAAGCTGTTGAGCCTGAATTATGCGAGCCCCTTGATGGGCGACACCTAAGTGCTTGTAGGCGGAGTCCTTGACAAAAGGGGAATGGAAGTTAACGGCCTCTTTAACGGGCAATAGTTGCCCATTCACTGGCAGTTTCCCGGCGTCGACCAAAGGATCGAAACTGATGCTGGGTTGTAAACTAATGGCACCAATTTTGGTCGCGTTCGTACTAGAGCGATTCACGCTTATCGTAGGGTTAGGTTTGGCTTCGTTCGCGGTGAACATGTCTATGGCGACGCCCTGACGACCGGATTTCTGCTCATCGACGACGAACTGTCCCACGACGCTCCTCGTGGGCTCGCTAAACACCGGTTCGAACCTCAGCTGCTCCCGCTGTAACAGCTGCTGTTTGAAACGGAGCTGCTGCAATCGCAATCGTTGGATTTCCTCCTCGATGGCGAACTGTTTATCGCGCAGTTCTTTGGCCGCTTCTTCCTTCGGCTTCTCGGTCTTAAATATGGGTTCCACCCTCTCCGGCTCGCCCCGCTCGTCTTGGTGTACCGTGAAAGCCGCCACCAATGGGGCGGAGAACAGCTGCACCTGTTCCACTTTGGCCTCGTTCTCTTCGGTCGATGTCGTCGTCGCTGCGGCGGTCGTCGTTTCCGGTTCGTCGTCGACTATCGAGTTGTGGCTGATGGGCGTGTCGTCTAGTTTCGCGGTAAATCCGCTCGTGGCGCTAGTGATTATGCGTTCCGCGTCCTTGACCGGGTCCAGCTCTTGATGTTCCAAGGTGGTGACGCTCGTGGCGGGCAGGCTGTCGCTTTTCTGGAATATCAGCGTGGAGGAGGTGGCGGGCTCATCGTCGTCGGTCGAGTTTCGCGATGCCGGTTCCTCTTTAGCGAGAACGGTGAACGACGTCGCCTGGGCTTTTTCCACGTCCGAATTCGACTCCTGCTCGTTTTCTAACTCCGTTAACGCTTTCAGCAGAGCCTTCCGTAGGGTGGAGTCCAGTTTGGCGGTAGCAGGAGGCGGTGTCTCCGTGATATCGTTGTCGGAGGCGGCGCGGACTGCCGTCAGCGACGCGAGCAGGATTAGCAGGTTAATCTGCGAAATCGATAAAGCATCGGATAATCGGTATTTCATCGCTTTCATTAGGAAAAATAAAACGGTTCTTTTATGGTAGCCCGTTTCTCGTTGTGAAGATTTCTCTCACAGAAGAAGAGACTCTCAACTAAGTTCGAGAATTGGCGTGAATCGCAGAATTTTAATAACTTTTTGTTTTTAGGTTTGGTTATTCGATTTTTAGTTGAAATTTTATTTATTTGTTGATTTATTCGTCAACGGGCCAACCGCCCAATATAAAATAAGGTTCACATAAACAAAATAGCCCTAGTATGACAATCATTGGTTTCCCAAAATATTAATATTAATATAGGAGTCAAGTACGAACACATATAACAGTAGCGAGACATCAACACATTGTTATACAATACTATTCAGAAGTCAGACAACGGAAAAGTTTCACTGACACTCTTTTAGTTCTTTATTAAATATTTTCGTACTCTGGAAGCAATCAAGTTGGTCCGATTTGCTAGTGCGGCTGATCTAGTAAGAAAATAACTCTGCCCATAGTTAGTACGATGGACGCTACCTGGAAGGAATGGTTTATTCTGTTCTGGCAGGGGTGTGGGGGATCCGAAGCCTAATGTTACATAACAGCTCAGGTCCATGAGAATTTGAGTGCAGTATATTCTTCTGCACTTCTGCTTCTGTGTTAGCTCAAACCTAAAATATAGGCCGACTGCCCCATTAAGCAAAGGAAGAAGAGCCGGTGCCTCTTGGCGTGGTATGTTGAAACCAACAAACCAAATTATTTTCTGTGGATTGTATGAAGAAATGAGCCATAGATTAAAGGCAAAAAAGAATAGGTAAAGATTAAACGACGTAGTTTAAATTAAATCTAGTCGTTAGATCTTCAAGACAGTAACAAATTCTGAAATTGTCGACCTTATTTAAAGTAGTTCACCTTTTGTATATATGAGGAGCGTCAGTTACTTGCGAAACGATTTTAGCGTGCGGAATTTTGGTGAAGATAAAGCTAAAGATAGCTTTTATTATAATTTTTACAGTCAAAACAAAAGGACTATTTTTATGTTAAAATTGGGTTTTAAATTGTACTGAAAATCTGAGTTTCTCGAGAGAATATAAAAATTAGAGTTGCTTTTTACATAAGTGGCACAATTTAGTTTGTACGTACTTGGAAATGTCAATAAAAAGTATTGTGGAAACAGGTCGCGGCTTAAACGCGGTAAAATGCATTTCTGCATCCTAAACACTTGCTCCGCACGTGAGGAACCTCTCCAACGAATCAAAGCCTAGTTGAGACATGAATAGACAGAGTAAAAATAGCATATTTTTAACAACATTGCTTTCGAAAAATCGTCGATGAACGGGGCAAGTTCGTAGCAAAGAGCGCGAATCACCTTTTTGTTTTAAAAAGAAGGCCCTTCGCGGTTTCTTGTCCTAGAGAACATTGTTTTTCTATCGTGCTCCTGCGGACCACTATGGAACTTTCGCAAAATCGATGTAATTATATTGTGATTACACCCTGTATAAATTGTGCTTCACACCTTGTCGACCTTCAAAGTTAAGGCAAACTTTGGTAATATTAAAATTTGTACTGGTAATTGCAATTTAAAAATATATTTTTTCGAATATCTCGCGTCCCCTGTATAATAGACGAAACCTTAAACATTATCTTGACTTTGACTCTTGAATTTTTTGCCCACAAACGACGTACCCTGTATATAATTCCAACAGTATAATTCCAGGTATCGGAATTTTTCCTATGGAGTAATTGGTTTTCAAAAAACTACTTGTTTTCTGGAACCATGCAGTACGTGGTAAGAGTAAATGACGTCATCGCGTCTAGATTGAGGGCGAGAAATGGTGATTTTCAATTGGATTTGTTCAAATATCTTGAATAGCGTATGTGAAAGACGAAAACTGGTCTTGTAAACGGTTTTTAAAAAACGGTCTCTTTTGTAGACCCTTGCACACGCGATTTTTATTTTATTTTTAAAACTTCCCTCTTCCCCCCCCCCCCCCCCATTCACCATAGGTTCCGTCTCACTGCAAAACTGCATATATGTGCCAAGTAGGAGGCCGATTGCTTCAAATTTCGGACACTTATCGTATTTCATAGCAATGTTCAAAAAACAGTCGAAAATCGCAAAAAAAAAATGGATGCCGGAGTCGGATTGAGGCATATCTTACAAGCTTATATATCTCGCGATTATTCGGCATTTTGTTGCGCTATTGTTATCCGACACAATTGACCCGGTCTTCGGAAGATCTCGATAGAAATCTTCGCCAGTTCGGAGAGTTTTCACTTTGGCTCATCCTTTAAGCGCGCTGCGCCCGTCTTTATCGCCGCCTATGACAACATAAACGCGAATGTTTCTTGACCTTAAACTACAACCGCGGGAGAAAACCTGCGAAAAAGATTCTCGCAACAGCCTCATCGCCGTATGTATTTGTTATTACGCGGCCACTTTCACTCGCTGCGGGATTCCGGGGCACCCAACTGACACCTCGCTGGTGAAGGGGGGGGGGGGTCTTCGACGCGTTTTTTTCAGTTTTTTTGGTCTCCCCCGCCCCCCTTTGTTTTTGCATTCTGCAGCTACTAGACGTATAGAGGCCCAGCCTATTCTGACAGTACAGGAAATCACGAAGCAGTTATGTTTTTTTTTTTTTTTGAGGAAGTGCATTCAACGTGCGTATGCTCTCTCGATGTTTTGGGTATCACAGAGTCCAGCTCTGGCGGCAAAAGATTTTTTCCTCAACACAGTAGAGGTAGACAAGGAGGGCCGTTATGAGGTCAGGGTGCCATGGGTGGAGGGTCATCCGCCATTGCGAAGTACGATGTTGCACATAAGAGACTGAATAATGTGCTCAAGAAGTTGAAGTTTGAAGGGATTCTCGAAGAGTACAGTGAGGTATTCAAAGAGTTGTTAGCCGACAAGATTATCGAAGAAGTATCCAGTGGGGGTACAGACCTGTAATAAAGCAAGGCAACGCGACCACCAAGATACGACCCGTTTTTGACGCTTCAGCCAATGGGAAGCCCTAGGCAAATTCTGACCTTGCCCCATAAGGCCTTGCGGCCTTCATCAAACAACATGGCCGCTGACAGATCGTCCGTGTTTGGATGCAGTATTTTTTCAAAATATGTCGAAATCCTATTAAATTGTCAGGTAAAAAAATAGTTTTTGTTCTTTAAGCCCTGTAGAGACAATGCCATTTCTACGTGTTTTTTTTACTTGTAAATTGGCGCAAAGCGTTAGTTTTAATAAACTTTTAGGTTTAACCTCTATTGAAATAACTTTGAGATCCTAGATATCGCACGAGAAATATTTAAATTGAAAAAATGTTCAAGAAGCACTTCCTATAGACAATAGTTGACAATAGGTATTTCTTATGTTTGTTGTAGTAAAAATTCAACTTGTAGGCTAATTGTTTTCTTATATTTCCCGTAATTCTTGTACACTAAAACACATTACCCAAACATTTTTCGTAGCTATTTAAATGTATGTACCAATGTACCAACTCAGAGAGTAAGGGGAAGACGCATGCGCAAAAGATCCATACCTTCTCTGCGAAAAAATCATAGCCGCCTGCGGCGCATCAATTTTTACCGTAATAGAGCCACTATATTGTCTTATGGCTATATGATTTTAACACACAGAGCTCTGAGCCTTCATCCTCATTGTCTATTTCAAAAATTTCTTTAGGATTCCTTAGTGGCATACGAGGTGCGTTCAAAAAGTAAGGTGACTTTCAAGTTTTATCAAAAAGTATTTATTTACTTTTCAAAATTAATGTTGTCCCCTTGTGCCAATGTTAGACACAAGCAAAGATGAGTGAGCAGGTGCATTATCGTGGTGCCATTGTTTTCCCACAATTGCGGACGTTTCTTCGTATTGCTTCTCGCAATCCTAACTTCAAAGGTAATACTCTTCATTGACCGTATGACCGTGTGATAAGAATTCTTGATGTATTGTGCCCATGTAATCAAAGAAAGCAAACAAAACCTTAGCATATGATCGAACTGGACACACTTTTTTCGATCTTAGCGATTCTGGGTTCTTTCACTGCGCTTTGGTTTCGACGTCATAACCACATACCCCTGACTCGTCACGGAGATTCCGACGTCTTCAGCCACTTCTCTAATTCTCTAATTCTCTAACTATAGAAACGTTAAGTAGAAATGAATATAAATACACAAATAATCTAAACCGGTCTTGATACAAACGTTAACAAAAACTTAACCTATAACTGTTCAATCGGCTTTTTTAATCGGTATTATTTGAGAAGTTGTTAAATCTGTGACCGAAATCAATTGCTTGCCAAGTTATACGTTCACCTGTGTCCTATCATCCTATCAGCTCAAGAGAATAACGGAAGCTAACCAAAACTAATCCAATACGCAAGTATCTGGTTAGTCTCGAGTTATTTGGTTAGATACGAGACAGGTGATGGTACAACGCCTTCTGGTATATGTTTTTATCCGCAACTTGCGCTCTGAGAAAATGATGAAAATTCGTCAAATGACAGAAACATATGTTATTTGTACAATTGTTTGAGATAAACATTTCCAGGATAAAGGTGTAGACCATCTTCGGAAATGTATTGTACATAACTGGAACTTAGTTTAAAAATTAATATAAAATATTATTTAAAAAACAAACAGATAAAAGCACGTAATGGTTTATCGAAATACAACTTTAAATTTTTATGTGTGTATGTTTTTATGTCGCTTTATTTTTTATTATTGTAAGTGTTTGATCTATTTATATTTTTAAATAATACTTGAAGCAAATTAATTTTTAAATAAAGTTCCTTTATGTACAAATAAATCTGTGAAGATGGCTTATTTTTTTGGAAGAAACAAAAATTTATATGACGGCATACCCAGAAAAATTTTATTGGTTGATTTGAAATCTAAGCGAGCGCATTGCCTCATTGAGTAGTGCTGCTAGTTACGCCATTGCTTTAGTGTACATCGTTATTTAATTATTTACTAATAATAATTAAACGTTTAT